TAGCTGCCACACACTCTGGGGGCTCTGCCTTGAGCACTTCGAGCTGGCTCCCATGTCTGGAGCACCCACGGGGTATAGGGGCATCTGGGTCCCAGCTCAGTAAGCCAGAACTGAAAGCTCTTAAACCAGCCCTATGTGGGCCCTTTGTGGACCCCATCCTGAGTGGACTGCTCCCTGTCTGAGGGGAAATCCCACACACTCCTCCTTGACCTCCTGTGTCCTGGGTCCCTAGCATGAGGAAAGGCCAAAAGCATACTGGAAGACAGTCGTGATCGACCTAACGAGAAGAGCTCACTCCTCCCATCCTGCCACCAGTCTGAGGTGTAAGGTGAGTGCGCGGAGCTGGGACTGAACTTGGGGCCCCGGCCACCGCCACCTCTAGGGTGGGAAGCAGGTGCCAGTGGCCTCAGCCAGCTTTAGACCCAGCCCACCTTGAGTCTCGACTCCAGCCCAGATGCTCTCTGGCCCTGTAACTCTGGGCAACTCAGCTGACAGCTCCAAGTCTCAGTCTTCCCATCTTTAAAATGGAGAGAAGAGCAGTTATTTTATCAGGTTGTTAATGAGAAAGAAATGTGATAAGATGCCTGCTGCAGGGCCTGCTTGTGACATAGCAAGTGCCGAATGCCATCCCTCCTAGATGGGACATCTTTGGGGCTGGACCACAGTGCAAGGGATGGGAGAGATCCTGCAAGGACCTGCTGCCCCCGCAGAGGGCAAGGGTGGAGGGAGCTTAACCGTGTGCGATGGTCTGTCCTTTCACTCAGCAGCCCCGAGTCCTCCCCAGGTCATTGCAGCCAGATCTTCTTTTGGGGGCCAAGAGGAACACCCCCAGCCTGGACTGGCTTGCCCCAACCTGAGGTTCAGAAGCAGATCCTACAGAAGGGCTAAGGGCCCACCTTCACAGCCTACTTCGGTCCCTTCTTTATCACGACTACAGGGCGGTGTCAGGCTATTCCTGACCCAAAGGGAGGGCCATATCCAGCAGCAGTCTTGGGCCAACAGCCTGGAGGCCTGAACTCCCTTCTCCCTTGGGCCCAGGCTAGATTCCATACTCTGCAGCCCCAGTCACAGCTCCCTAACTTCCATCTGGGGCCCTGGGCCGTTCTCCACACTCCCACTCAAGCCGCCCTCCAGTCCTCAGTCATCAAGCCTCAGGGCCTTTGTAGCAACTATTCCCTCTGGCTGGATGCTCTTCCCCTAACTTCAGCTGGGTTGGCTACTGTCACTCAGGTCTTTGCACCAATGTCACCTGCTGAGCAAGACCTTCCCTGACCACGTGATCTGAAGCAGCCTCTAAGGGTGCTCCATCTTGTTGGGCTGGGCTGCCCCTGACCTCGCTGCCCCACCCAAGCCTTTGCCCACAGGTGTGTCCCAGACCATCCTCCTGCGAACCTGCTCTGACCACCTCCAGGCCACTTCCTGATATGAGAGACCCCCTCCAACAGCCCCCTTGGCCCTGGCTGCTCCATGTGTGTCACAGCTCTGGAGACTGACATAGGCCCTCTCATCTCCATGGGGTAGAGGGCAGAGGCATCAGTCCAAGCCCAGCCTTTGGCTAGACCCTCCGCCAGAAAGCTGAGCTCATGCTTTGGGATGCAGCCACTGCCCTGATTCCCAGAGCAAACTCCAGCTTATTACTGTCCCCCACCCCCGACCGGGCTCCAGCCTCTACCAGACCCATCCCTCAGTGCTCTGGTGCTCCCCACACAGGGTCCCAGCCTCTGATTGTGGGGGTAGCACTTCCAGCACCTCTGTAGATGACCAATTCCACGGGGTGGGGGAGGGAGCCAACAGGAGTGGCGAGAGGGAGCCACCATCTTGCCCTAGTGCTGCCCGTCCTCTCCAGAGACTCTTGTTATGAGACCTGGAGCAGAGAAAAAAGCAGCTCTGAGTAGCAGGAATCTCCCTTCCCTTCTCACAGGGTTTTGCTGCCTCAGCCAACCACTCCCAGCTCTCTGCTCCTTCCCCCTGTCTAGGTGTCTGCAAAGGCAGCAGGTGCCAAAGGAGCTGGGAGGGAACCACCAAGCCCAACTGCAGCCTTTCATGCCCTCGTCAGGCAGGGGGTATGGCTCTATAATTAATCAGGCATTCATAGAGTGGTACCTCCTCTCTCTAGAACAGCCCTGTCGGGTAGCGGGGCCCAGGCCAAGTCAGCCCATCCGGCCTCCACTCTCAGGGGCTCCCAGATCGATGTGCAGTGTGACTAGGAAGCAACCAGCAGGCTTCACTGTGTGCTCCATCCCCATTCCCTGGAGTGACTACTACGCGGCTGTCCAAAAGGATGCAAAGGTACTGCAGGCACAGAGAGGCACTTCACAGAGAATACAATCAAATGTGGAAAAGATGCAAATCTAGGTGCAACCCATGATTTAACTGCTTAAACCAAAATGTGCAGCAGGAAAAAAGATTGGAAGGAACCGTATCACAGTGGTGGCTGTGATTACATTCAGCAAAGAGGTAATGGGTATTTCTTCTTTGGTAACTTTCAAGTTTTTCTGTAATGAGATTATGGATGGGTGGAAAGAAAAGAAATTACTCTTTAATGAGTTTTGTACCTGCAGGCACTTCGCACTCCTTAACTGACTTGAGCCCATCAGAGAGATGTTATTATCCCATTAGTAGCTCAGAGAGGTTAAGTAACATTTCCAGTGGCAGAGCACATTAGAGCTGGATCAGAGTCAGATTCAGGCCCCTTTTGATCAGGGAGGGAGCAATGAGGAAAGAACTCAGAAGGTGCTATGGGGCTCTCTCCAGCAGAAAAGAGGGTCATGGTCAGGCCTGGCTGGTGCCCTTCCCAGGGAGTGGGTTATACAACTGCCACACACACACACACACACACACACACACACACACACACCCGCCCCCTGCCCCCCAGCCACCACTGGACCAAGTTCAGCCTACTCTGGCAGTGAGTGCAGATATTCTCGCCTGGGTGACTATATGTCATTGGTCTCCTCATCCCAGATCTTAACCCCGACAGCCTGTTTTCCACATGGTGGTCTGAGGAATACGAACATCCAGTTATTCCTCTGCTAAAACCCTTCAACGGCTCCCACTACACTTAAACCCAAATCCCCTACTCTTCATAATCTGCCTCTGCCACCTTCCTTAACCTCATTCACACTCCTCTCTACCCAGACTTTTCTTCCTTTTTCTCAAACCAAATTAATTCCTGCCTCAGGGCCTTTGCATCATTTGTTCTCTCCACCTGGAACATTCTCCTCCCTTGTTTTCTCTCACCTGGCTTCTTTGCATTGCTCAGGAGTGCCTCCGATGAGTAAAGGAGGATTTTTCACCTCAGAGGGGAAGTAGGGACCTGCAGACGAAGCTGTACGGGCAGATCTGCCTGGGTCGATCTGCCCATGGGCCACACCGCACGGCTTCCTCATCCTTTCATGCTGGTTGTTTGGCTCTGCCAAGGACCTGGGTCTACCGATTGCCTATGCCTTTGGCTTAAACTTTCCTTTACCCCACTCAGGGCCCAGATTTCCCAGTCTGGCCTCTGGCTGGTTTTTGTTTCTCCAAACTTCTGTGCCAATCAGATAGATAGATAGATAGTGTCTTACCTTGACGGCTACAGAATAATCAAATCAAGGATTTGTGCCCAAAGATGTTCATCACAGCATCATTTATCACAGTGAAAAATAAAAAACAATCACAATTTTCAACTGCAGAGAATGGGTTAAGAAAATTGTTCTAATTGCCTCTCTCACTTTCCTTTTGATTTACAATCCTCCAGTGGCTTCCCACTGCTATCAGGATGGACATTCACTCCTCGCACAGCCCCAAGCTGCCCCCGCCAGGTCCACCTCCATCTCACCAGCACGCTTCCCACTGGTCATGTTCCAGCCTCACTCGCTTTCTTTCCCTCCCTTGTACTCACTTTGATTTCTGCCACTGAGCCTTTGCACGTCCTGTTTCCTCTTCCTAGAATACCCTCTCCTCTTCATCTAGTGAACTGTCACCCTCTAGACCCCAGCTCACATGTCCCCTCCTCAGGGAAGGCTTTGCTGACCTCCCAGACCTAGTCAGGCCCCTGTTGTAGGATCTCATGACACTCGGCCACCCCCACCAGACTGGCAGCCCCCTGAGGGCTGGGACCACATCCTGATTTGCTCAGAATGAGAGCTCTAGTGGTTAGGAGTTAGGACTGTGCCAAGAAAGCAAGCCCTTGACTTATATTTGTTGAATAAACAAGACTTTACAGCCATTAGAATAAAGAACATGTGAAGTTTTAATTACATAAAAATTCACCCAATTATATTAAAAGGAAAAAAAGCAGATTTTCAAGTTGTTTATGCAGCACAATTACAAACAGGTAAGAAAAGAAGTAGAAGGACGTAAACCAAAATAATAGTTGCCTCCAGGGGGTGGAATTATAGGCAATTTTACTCCTGCAGCAAACTTTCCAAATATCCCACAGTGGGCTATTTTGCTTTTATCATCAAAAAAAGCAAGTAACTAACAGCTTTCTCTACCATTTGCCCTCAGAGCTGGTGCCTTCAGCCAGGGCGCCCTCTGCCCGCCAGCAGAAAGACTAGAAGTCAGATAAAGAAAGGTTAAATGGCTGAATGGCATGGTTCTGGGTGGCAGACAGGAAGACTGGTGGGAAGATGGGGCTGGCTCCACAAGGATAACCTCAGACCCTGGAAGGGGAATGAACGGGAGCGGGGAGGCTGGTGGAGGCTGGAGTTTGAATCCTGGCTGTGTTTTAAGGGCTGAGTGACCTTGCGCAAGGTGCCAGGTCTCCCTGGAACTCCATTTCTTCATCTCTAAGTGGAGCCAACAGTGGTGCCCGCCTTCTGGGTTGGGACAGCATGAAAAAGAATAGCTTAAGTAAAGCATGCGTCAGTCCCTCAGCCAGTTAATTTTTAAAGGGATCACAGTCAGACAGAAAGAACTTCTGTATTGATGGCCTCCAGGCTGGCCACAGAGTGGCTTTTCCAGGAAGTCCACTGCCCTACCTGGCCCCTCGCCCTTCCACCCTTGGCCCTGCGCACCTTCCTTGGAGCCGGTTGCTGCCACCGTGGCAGAGGCTGAGGTTGACCCAGTAGACGTCCTGCCCATGGGGCTTGAGTGTTTCCCCCCACGGCTGGGGGGCTTCAGGCCACTGGGCTTCTGCATGGTGGTGCCACTCAGTGGGTGGATAAGGGCCCGCACAGGTCACATTCTCTCCGCCATCGTCACTCACCTGCAAGAAGAGAAGAGGAATGGTCACTTTATAACATCTTTCTGAAGCCAACACAACGGGACTCCAGGAATTCCAATCCTGTGAAGCAGGGATCATCACCCCTTTTTTCTATATAGGGAAACTGAAGCACAGAGCATAGCAGCGGCAGCAAGTGTGGGCCCAGCATGGTGGTGGTGCTCTCAGGACGAGTGTCCTGGTCTGTGAGACTCGGAAGTTGGGCACACTCTCTCTACCCACCTCCTGGGTCCAGGAAGCAAAACTCAGGAGCAAACTGGCTTGAGTCTGTAGCAATGCCATATGAACCCCAGCAGCCCCATACCAGGACCACGAGAGTCAGCACAGCCACCAACAGCTGAATGTGGCTCTTACCACAGAGCACAGACTGGTATGGATTCTAACACACATGGCAACTTGGTGGGTTATTCTCCATCAGCCCCTAGATTCTCTAAGACCAGCCAATAACTCACATCCCTCCTGATGTGGGCCAAAGTAACACCTAATTTCATCAACCAGCTCAGTGTTCTATCTTGCCACATGGGCCACACTCCAGCTCTAGGGCTCACCATCCCAGCACCTGCCCACTCCACCCAGTGTGGGGACACATATACAGAGAGGCCTATACCAGCCTCAGGCCTATACCAGGATGGACTCACCTGCCCTCCTCTGCCTGCCCTTTCACCGTTATAGGTCCTCGCCTTTATGACTAAACACAGAAGAGTGTAATGCCTTCAGAGTATGGGGCACGAGTGTTTGACAAAGGGGACTCCAAAGAGGGGAAGTCTCCAAAGTGATCAGTTCAGGGCACCAGGTGCCAACAAGATGGGGCTGGCTGCAGAGGGACGGGAGGAGAGGCAGAAAGGACAGGCCCACCATTCCCCGGCCTCCTCCCGCACTGTCCTGTGTGTGTACGCCCACCCACTCTTGCACCAAATGTCTATGAAGGGCGCACCGTGGGCCAGGCCTCATTCTGCCTCAGAGCCACAGGCCTCTGCCTTGGGGAGCACACGCTCCAGTGGGGAGAGGAAATACAGAGCACCAGGGGGTGAACGGCAGATGCTGGGCAAAAGTTTCAGTTCTCAGGACCTTGAGAACAGGGGGGGATCAATGCTGATGCAGTCAGGGCTGCCACACTGTGCACTCATCCAGCCATATCCTTATCCCACCCTTGGGAACAGAGCATTGCTCCATTTTAAAGAACTCATTTCTCCACTCTTGATCCACGTGACCTATGTGGCTGAACCTGCATGTACACCTTGAATAGACACATGATCCAGGCTTGGTCAGAGCTCCCATAGCTAACTGAGGAAAGATCAGGTGACCCAAAGAGCATCAGGGCTTGGACTCTGGCCGGAAACTTTAAGAAGAGGTGCTCTCCTTGCTCTGGGGCTGCCTGGCTGTGGGTTGGATGCCAGGAGCTGCAGAGGCATCCCAGTTACCGCATGGGAGAACCTGCCAGGAGCGATGCCAACACAGAGACAGTAGAGCTGAATCGTTGGATTTGGAAGACCAGGATTCAGATGAATCTGAAGCTGGTAACTGGAGCCCCTCACTTGCATCATGCGACGAATCTTCACGCACATGTGCACTGTCTTCTCTTTTTGTCAAAATCTATTTGAGGGACACCGTTGCTTGCAACCAAAAAAGTTTTCACTAATAGAGAAGTTCTGACTAATACAGAAGCTAACCCAAAATGCTCACAGTAGGAATATGCAAAGTGTCCCCAGAATGGCCTCGGGCCAGTAAGATGAGCCAGCCATTACCTGTCCTGTCCTGTCCTGGTACAGCTGAAAGGATCAGCTTCTCATGTGGAGCTGCCGGCCATAAGATTAGAGAAAAATAAGCTTCCCCAAGGCACACAGTGATGATACCTACAAGCCCAGGTGAGCCGACAGAATGAGGCATGCCTTTCAACCCTGACCTGGCCTCTGGAGCCTGCCAAATCCAACACTACAATCCCCTGATTGACAGTTCTGATACCCTAGGAATTCAGGAGCCCAGAGTCACCTGGTCAGGCTAAGGTATGAGGCTACTTCCTTGCTCCCCAGGACCTGGCCCTCCAGGAAGCTCATTCACTGGGGAACTGCCCCGTGGTTTGTGGACATCTCTCTCTCTGAGCCTGGTTAGGCTGTGTCAGCATCCCCAAGCCTGAGAGGGACTCACTGAACCAGCAACGGCATGTGAGAGTGGTCTCTGGTGACAGAATGAGTGGCCACTCTGTGGGTGGCCAAATGGGCTTCCTGCTCCTGTGGCTTAGCCAGGAGACCCTCTGACCTAGGAAGTCTTGATGCAGAGCCAGAGCCACACATGCCTGAAGCAGAGAAAGAAAAAATTGCTGGGTCAGAAGCGAGGTACAAGGACCCCCTCTCTGTGCTCTGTGCCCATTGCCCCTGCTCTGCCCAAGACCCTTCCAGAGAAAAAGCTACAAATCATATATCTAATAAAGGACTTGTATTCAGAACACATAAAGAACTCTTACAACTCACTAAGAAGGCAATCTAACAAGAAATGAACAAAATATTTGAATACCATTTCACAACCAATGAAGATATGTAAATAGCAACAAGCACAAGAGAAGATGACCAACATGACTAGTCACCAGACAATGAGGATCGAAACCTCAAAGAGATATCACTTCACACCAACTGGAATGGCTAAAAACAGAAAAACTGACAATATCAAGTACTGCTGAGGAGGTGGAGCAACTGGAACATCCAAGTTGTTGGTGGAAATGAAAAATGGTACAGCCACTTTGGAAAAGTTTGGCATTTTCTTAAAAAATTAAATACATACCTAAATAAATGGACCCAACCACCCGAGAGAAATAAAAACGTATATCTAAACAAAGATTTGAAAAAAAAAAGTTTGTAGCAATGATATTCACAATAGCCATAAAACAGTAACAACTCAAATGTCCATCAAATGGTGAATGTACAAACAGGACATCTATACAATAGTACACCACTCAGCAATGACAAGGAACTACTGATAATTGCAACAATATAGACAAACCTCAGAAAACATTATGCTAAGTGAAAGACTCTAGACACAAAATACTACATATTGTATGATTCTAATTACATAAAACTTCAAAACTATAGACAGAAAGCAGATCTGTGGTTACCTGGGGGTAGGACCAAAGAATGACTGAAAAAAGGCATGAGAGAACCTCTACATTCCTGGGAAGTAGAGATGTTCTAAATCTGGATTGTGGTAAGGGCTACACAGCTGTATGTTTATACTAAAAGTTATCTTTTAGTATACTTATACCGTATACTTAAAATGGGAATTTTATGTTGTGCAAATTAAACTTCAATTTTAAAAAAATTTTTAAAAATTCTTGAAGGCTCCCCATAGAAGTTAGTGTGATGGCCTTCAAGGCTCACCTCACCTTCACCACTATGACCCACCCTCACCATCTCTACTCCAGTCACACTGGCCTCTGGCCACTCCTGGATCACACTAAGCATGCTCCAGCCTCAGGGCCTTTGCACATGCTGTTCCCTCTGCTTGGAATACTTTTCCTTCAAATATCCAGGTGTGTTGCTCATCTGCTGCAATGTCCCCTTCTAAGATTAAAACTCTTACCCAGTCCTCCCTACTTCAACCTTGCTTTTTCTCAGGACAAAGACTTGGGTCCTGACAAGAGAGCCTGGTTCCTACAGGATAACTGTTAAATGAATGAATGACACTGGCCATGGGGTAAGAGTCTCAATCACCTCCACAGAGCCCAGCACTCAGGACTGAGTGGCTTGTCGTGATCAGTCCAGCTGGCTGTCTGATGCTACGGCTTTTCATGTAGCTGGTCTGACCTCCCCACTAGCCAGCGTGCCTTGGAGACAGGAACTAGGGTTATAACAGTGCAGTGTTCTTGCATTGGAGGCTCCCCAACCAGCCTTACTGCTGATGACCCTGCATTTCCTCACCACTTGCCTGCCACTTTCCCACCTCCTAGACTGTGCCTATACCTTTTCTCCCACCTGCTTCACATCCAAATCACCTATGAAACACCTAGCTCAGTGCCTCTTCCAGCAGGTATCCCAGGATTTTGGCCCACAGAGAACACAGGATAACACCCTAGGCCAAGAGAAAGGATACTGTTCTCGTTTATCTTCATCTTGCCTCCTGAGCAATCACAGGCAACCCCCTAGTCTCTCCTTCCTGAGAACCCAGCCCCAGCATGGTGCCTGGCACAGAGCCAGTGGTCTGGAAACTCCATAGAAAGTACACCTGCAGTGTACTTTCTATCAGTACTTTCCGATCAGTACTGGATTGATCACCACAAGCCACTCAGTCCTGAGTGCTGGGCTCTGTGGAGGTGATTGAGACTCTTACTCCAAAGTCCTTCAAGGCCACAAACCTTGAGAGGCTTCCAGGAGAGGCTTCCAGAGGCTCCTACAGTTGCCCTCCTGCCCTCCCTGACCCCAAATGATCCCAGCAGCCTCGAGTAGGAAGAACCTATTATGTGCCAGGCCTTGTCGGAATATGGCCTCATTAGTCCTTGCAAGTCCTGATGAGGCACTGACCATCATTCAGGTAGAGCCTCTGAAGCTCAAAATGTTCACACACAGCTCAGTAGCTGGGACCAGCCTCCGGTCTGGCCCTCCACTGCCTCCTTGCACTGCCTGGCCCAGGCCTGGAAAAACATTTGTGAGACCCCTGGCCTCTGGGGAAAGCGTCCACGTGCCCTGCACACAAAGGACAACAGCGGAGCTGCTGGGAGAAGAGAACAGAGGCAGCACGGACTCAGTCCCTGCCACCGCTGCTGAGGGTGCGGGGAGGACGAGGGGAGAAGAGGCAAGAGCCCACTCCCCCACTCCTCCCAACCTCCCTTCAGGCCTCCAGAGCTGAGGGAGCATGAGGAAGAGAGAAGAATGGTGAACAGAAAGAGGGGGAGGAGGACTCAGGCCAACTGGCTTTTGTGACTCAGCCCTGCTCATGGAGTAGAGGAAGAGAAGGGGTTTCTTGGAAAAAGCTCTCACATAGTGATAAATTGGCCTCTG